AGGAAGGAAGGAAGGAAGGCAGGAAGGAAGGCAGGAAAAAAAATGACATTGACAAACAGAAACAAGAAAATAAAGGAATGTATTCTATATAAAGGTGTAAAACAACACAAATGAAATGCAAGCAATCTGGGATCACTTATAAAATTAGAATTTTTCTCATGAACCAGATTCCTCACTATTGTAAATTGACAATTTGCTCAGTGTACAAAAATACTCAAAGCCCACTGTCATTTCAGCTGCGTTCAGACTTAATTTGCGTAATCCTGTAGGTGCACTTTATAGACACACATTTCAAAGAAAATCTCTTCGAAGGTGATGCTGGTTTTATGTAACCATATCCTCTTCAGAACTTATGAAACTTAAAACAATATTTAATTTAAAATTTCAAAGTCAGAGGGGTATTTTAAAGGTTTGTGATGCTTACGATTTTTAGGTGAGGTAAAACACTTTATCACTGGAGCAGCTGGCAGAGCCAGACCTCAGCTCTCAGCACAATGGGCTGTAATAACCACCTATTAGCAGCGGGGTCAAGAGGTGAGCGCTCCTGACACGGCTTCCTCCACGGTGCTCTTGTCCCATGCCAGCCTCCAAAAGGAAAATGAAAAACCTGATATTTTCCTGTTGGCTGACCCTTTCCTCCCACAGCTTCCTTTCTCAATAAAATTTTGACACGAACGATTTAAAAAAAAAAAAAATAATAAGAGGCGGTGCCAAGGAAGGAAGGAAGAGTGGTCTGCGCCAGTACACTTCTGCTTACCTTTACAGACTTTGGAGGCTGCTGATATCCTGACTCCCATGGTAGGTAACTCACTGAAGATCTTTACTGAAGACTTTAAAAATCCCACAGGCACTTTGGCTCCTAGGGCAGCAAGGAGAGTCCTTTCTGTTATCCACAATACTCACCAAGGCAAACCCCTGCATGGCCCATGGGGCACAGTCCCATTGACATGCAAAGCTCTCCATGGCCCCTGTGGCAGGGGAAGCACCCAAGGTCCTTCCAGCACTGGACACAAGAACAGGGAACAAGCAACAATCAGCAATAAAAGCCCAGAACCATGTGATCTCTGAGGCTCTTTCTCAGAAACTTCAACCCACCTTGTCTCCCCTCACTACGCTGCTTCAGGCCAGCTCAGCCCTCACCTTCCCCTCACCTCCCGCTCTCCCCCAAAAAGAGTCAGGGGAGTGTCTGCAGGCATTTTCTGGCTCGCGCAGACCCCAAAACACGACCTCAAGGGACACGACCCCAACGGGAGCCCCCACAGCCCCGAGTCCCCCCCGCTCCCGACCGCCCGGGAGACCCCCCGACAGCCCGCGGGGAAGCCGCCTCAGGGGCCTGGGCGCTGCCAGGCCGCGCTGCGGGGCTCGCCGGGGAGGGAACACCGCTCAGGGGAGGCGGGCGGGAGGCTCGGCCGGGGGCTCTATGGGGGTAACACAGCCCGGCGATGGCCCCGACCCGGCGGTGGCGCGGGGGAGGTGACGGCGGGGCTGGGCCGGGCGGGCTCCCCCTCCGCCCTCCGCCGTCACATGAGAGGGGCGGGCGGCTGGGCCGAGGCGGCGGCCGCCGCCGGGACTGAGGCAGGGCTGGGCGGGGAGGGACGGGGCAGAGCAGCGCGGCGGCGGAGCGCGACGGAGGAGGAGAAGAGAAAGAAAGCGAAGGAGAAAGAGGAAGAGAAGGAGGAGGAGGAGGAAGAGGAGCGGGAGTGGCCGCGAGGCGCCGAGCGAGCGGAACGATCCCCGGGCCTCGCTGATCGGCGGCGGAGCGCCCTGCCCGCGGTCCCAACATGGACGAAGAGGGCGGCGGAGGCGGCGGCGGTGAGTGCGGGGCTCTTGCGGGGGGTTCGCGGCCCCTGGCCGGGCGGCACAGGAAGGTGCCCCGCTCTCGGAGCCCCTGACAGCGGCTGCGGCCGCGGCCCCTCCCGCCGGGGCTGCCCCGTCGTGCCCGGCGCCCCCCGAGCG